TTAGAAACAACAAGTATGTCATCTACATAAACCAGCATGGCAATGAAAGAAGAGTCTGAATGCTTCACAAATAAGGAATAATCAGATTGGGACTGTTTGAACCCAAGAGAGAGCAAAGTAGAAGAAAATTTGGCAAACCACTGCCTAGATGCTTGCTTGAGACCATACAGTGACTTGTGTAAATGGCAAACAGCATTGGGAAAAGACTCCCCCTTACCATGATAACCAGGGGGTAAAGTCATATATACCTCTTCAAGGAGCTCTCCATGTAAAAAAGCGTTATTGACATCTAACTGAATTAGATGCCAATTTTTGAGTGCAGCAAGAGCAAGGATCACCCGAACTGAAGTAAGCTTGGCTACAGGTGAAAAAGTGTCAGAAAAATCAACTCCAACTTGTTGTGTAAACCATTTGGCAACCAAACGGGCTTTGAATCTTTCAACAGAACCATCAGAATTGTACTTGACCTTATATACCCATTTACAACCAATTGGGGATTTTCCAGGAGGAAGAGAGACAACTGTCCAGGTCTTGTTATTTTGTAAAGCCAATAATTCATCGTGCATGGCAGATTGCCATTCAGGGAGCTGGGAGGCTTCACCATAGGATGTAGGTTCAAAATGATTATGCAGGGAATTAACAAAGGCAGTATGTGTAGGGGAAAGCTTTGAATAAGAAAAAGAAGCAGAAAGAGGATGGGCTGTTGAAGAGGAACAGATGTAAGTATCTAAGTGGCTAGGAGGCTTTTTAGTTCTGGATGGTCTAGAAGAAACAGGAATGGGGTTGGGAGGAATGGTTGGAGTTGATATAGGCAGTGGGGTAATTGGAGAGGATGAATTTTTGAAAGGGAAAATGTTTTCAATGAAGTTGACATCTCTTGAGATAAAAGTTCGGTTTGAGGCAATGTCAAGGAGTTTGTGTCCTTTATAGCCAGGTGGATATCCTAAAAATACAGCAGGTACAGCCCTAGGGGAAAATTTGTGTCTGTGTTTGGGTAGGGTGGAACCATAGCATAGGCAACCAAAAATGCGAAGGTGGTCATAGGTGGGAGGTTTGTGAGATAGGATTTCAAAGGGAGATTTATGAGAAAGCAAAGGGGATGGGGTTCTGTTAATAAGGTATACAGCTGTTAACACACAGTCTTGCCAATATTCCAGGGGAATATTGGACTGAAAATGCAAGGCGCGAGCAACATTTAAAATGTGCTGATGTTTGCGCTCTACCACTGAGTTCTGCTGCGGTCTATCAACACAAGAGTGAAATAATTGTATACCCTTGGAAGAGTAAAAATTAGATAAAAGAAACTCAGGAGCATTATCACATCTTATTGACTTGATGGCAGTATTGTACTGATTTAAAATGAGAGCATAAAAATCAATGAAAGCAGAACGAAAATCAGATTTGCAGCGTAAAAAATATGTCCAAGTGAAGCGAGATGCATCATCAACAATTGTGAGAAAATATTTTGATCCTTCAACAGAAAAAGGGTGAAATGGACCCCAAATATCACAGTGAATAAGAGTAAATGAAGAAGAGGACAATTTGGGATTTAAAATAAATGGTAAGCGTTTTTGTTTGGCCAAAGGGCAAACATTACATGTATGAGACGCATCTAAAAGTGATGTAGTGTGTAAAACATCTTTCATTGAATTTAAAACAGAATAGGAGAGGTGACCTAAACGAGCATGCCAAAGCTCAGAATTGCATGAATTTACAGAGAGACATAGGGGTGGGGAAATACAGGAAACAGGAAAAAAATTGGATGTATCAAGGACATAAAGACCTTCATGACGCTTAGCAATCCCAATCGTCTTGGCTGTGATAGGGTCCTGTATCAAACAATGGGAGGAAGAAAAATTAGCAATGAGAGATGAATCACGGGTCAGGGAGCTAATTGACAAAAGGTTAAAACGGAAAGAGGGGACAAATAAAACATTTTGGAGAGTAAAGGAAGGAGACAAAATTATGGAAGCAGAACCAGTCACAGGGACAGACGTACCATTAGGAAAAGAATGATACAATAGAGCCAATACAAGCGAGGAGAAAATGATACATGGTGGGTCGCACCAGTATCTAAAATCCAACAAGAATCGGAAAAAGAAGAAGGACGCTTACCATTGAAGCTTGCGACAGATGGGGAGGAATCAGTGACCGAAGCTAAGGAGGAAGCAACCGGAGCAGCAGAACGTTAGTGGATGAGCGATAGAAGATGCGCATACTAAGACTGTGTGATGGCAGATGTGGGTGGTGGAGCGTGGTTAGGGTTCACGGTATTGGGGAAGTTAGGGATCGAAGAATAAGGGTGAGGGAATGGAAACACAGAGGAATTTGCTTGGGCTGAGGCATTGGGAGAATGGGCTGAGTGGGTGGGAAAATTGGGCCTAGGTGGCCTGGGCCTGTATCCAGGAGGGAACCCATGTAGCTTAAAGCACTTGTCTCTAACGTGACCCTGGTTGTGGCAGTAGGTACAAAATGGGCGAGAACGGCGAGGAGCGGTGATGGCAGCCGTGGCCGGCGGTGGGTTCGAATCAGTTGAAGAAGGACGGTTAGGGGAAGTGGATATTGAGTTGAGGAGGGGTGTATCAGGGGAGGTGGGAACATCAATGTTGATTTGGCGTTGCCTCTCTTCCTGAAGAACAAGTGAGAAAACCTTGGCAATTGATGGAAGAGGATCCATTAAGAGGATCTGAGCTCGCACAGAGGAGAAGGACTCATTAAGGCCCATGAGGAATTGAAGGGCATCATGTTGCTCTTGTGAAAACGAAACTTGTCTCAGTCCTCCACAAGTGCACGATGGAGTGGGAATGTAAGCCTGGAGCTCATCACAGAGGGTTTTTAACTTTGTGTAATAAGAGTTGACATCAAGAGATCCTTGATGAAGAGAAGAAATATCTTGTTTCAGTTGGAAGATGCGTGGTCCGTTGGCTTGCTGAAAGCGAGTGCGTAGATCATCCCAGGCGTCAGAGGCATTTGAGAAATAAACCAAGCTATCTGCAATAGCTTTGGAGACAGAATTAAGGATCCAAGAAATGACCATTGAGTTGCACCGATTCCATGCTGGAAATAGGAGATCGGAATTGGAAGGACGGGGAAGAGATCCGTCTATGAAAGCTGATTTGTTTTTGGCAGTAAGTGCCAAAAGCATAGCTCGGTTCCAGGAGCTGTAATTGGTACCATCAAGGGTATGGGTCACAAGGACAAGACCAGGGTGGTCATTGCTCTGCAGGGATAGGGGCTTGCTGTATCCTCCATTGAAGAAGCACCGGAGGATGTGTCGGAAGATGGCGGAGGACGGTTGTTGCCTCGAGCCATTAAAAGGCTCTTGATACCATATTAGTGATTAAGCACTCTGCATTTCCAGAAAGGAAGAGAAGAAAAACTAACTTTGTATATTTTCATTCAGTGTGTAATTGGTACAAATGATCCAGTATATAAAAGCACCTAAGAGAATCTGTTGTAACAGACTCATGGTGACGTGGCTACAAAATCAGAAAGAAATGCTAACAGGTGCCAAACAGAAGGCAATGCTAACAAATGCTAACAGAATACAAATTGCTAACAGAATACAGAATACAATCAGAATACAAAAAAGAAAAATATGTAATACTGTAATACTAAATACAGACAATGCTTTTTTAAACACATTTTGGATTCATACATATTGTAAAATGGCCTAAAAGCTAATGTTAAGATTCGTGTTTCGGCTCTGTTGCTCGTAATCAATACGTTTGTAGTTGGTCTGTAATGGTTTTTCAGAGATTTATTTGTGCTTATTTCAGGAAGGAAATTAAATTGATAATTTACTTAATTCTTCCTTCTTGCTGAACCAAACTCTTGATTATTTTCATGCTTATTTGGTTTTACTACTTGTAGAATCATATGGAATGGAAGTTAAGACTTTTTAGTACCGTAACTTCTCTTCTCCATGGTTCTTCTTTTTCACATGAAATGGAAGTTGAACTTTCTAGTCCAAGATTTTTCCCTCAATTGCTGGAAGCCTCTCCATTTTGTTAGATTTTTCATTCTTATCTCCATCTATAAAGAATTTGCAATATGTCCTTCTTCTTCCTTCAATTTTTGCTTTAGTTGGCCAACAAACACAACACTAGTAGAGCAGATTCATTTGTCGGGGATAGCTTGCTACAAACTCTCAATTGATGGTGTTTAGAACTTATCATTCAGAAAATTTATTATCCTGATGAGAAGATTTATTCATTTGTCGGGGATAGCTTGCTACAAACGAATCTCCAATTAACTACCCTCTGTCCTCTTCACTTCTATTTAACCACCTTTCCCGCTCAAACCCAACTCCCATCTAACTACCTTAACTGCTCTAACTGTCACCCGTTCGTTCCCTTGTTCCTTCTGCTGTACACTTGCCACACTCCTCCCCTTCACATATATGCCTAACAGGTTCTCTCGGCAACAATAGAATGAGTTAGCTAAACAACTTCCATGGTCCAATAAGGTGAAGCACAACACAATCAACAATTTCTGATTCATGCACCTGGCCACACAAGCATACACGAACCCAATCAATTTCTAAGGTTAACTTTGATATCAATCTATATCCAGCAAGGATGAACCATATAAATTCTAGGTTCAATTCAATTTAGTCCCTCAACGATCATAGCAAATTATTAGAAACATCACCTAAAGCAATATAAAATAGCAAAATATTCAAATACCACACTGTACCACAGGAATGCCTTTTCCACATTCAACAACAACAAAAGAAGAAGATAATAATAATAATAATAATAATAATAATAATAACAAGCGAGTCAGCAACCTCATCATAATAAATAATAAATAAAAAGAATGATGGAGAGGAAATAGAGGAAGATAATTGAATTCTCAACATTTATCGCTGATGTGAGAAAGATATGAGTGCTCAAAATTGGTACCAATAGGAACTAGATGTTACAAGCTTTCTTTACATATATCATGATCAATTTCCTGAACAAATGAGAAAGATACGAGTGTTCAGAATTTTGGTTTTGAAGTGTTTGAACATGTTCATGTGGCTGACTTTGATAGAATCCCCGTGGTCAAGTTAAACACCAATCTTAAATCAACTCGATGCTTATTGCTTACAGAAATTCCTCAGTTTTCCTAAAACCTTGACCTTTTTCCTTGTTCACTAGTCTTGCTTCATTTACCCATTTCTTGGTGGAATTGCACACTACTATTAAATTGCCTCCTTTTTCATGCACTTTAGACGTTCATTGAGTGCTCTCTATCAAGATCTTGTCACCAGTAATCGCCACAGGAACATTTTCCTCCAACAATTTGATGAAACCGGTTTTTATCCCTCAAAGACACTTCTCTTTTAAAAATCTTGGAGATAAACTTAGCAAAATTATGACAATCAACACAAATACGGAGATTTTTCATAACACGTATTGGCACGCTTTGAGCTGTAGCAATTAGCCCAAAAGACAAAGCCAACTTTTCACTATGGCCTAGAAGTATCTTCTCCTTCTGCTCCTCATCCACATCATGCAAAACACAACTCAAATCAGGAACATAACCAGCTTCTTTAAACCTGATTGATAATTCCTTCACTTTTGCAGATACCTCTTCTCTTCTTGGATGGGAACGATCACTTGCATGGAAAGTATGAAGTACTTGATCAAGCTCGATCCAGCTTCTTCCTGGCTCTTTCATTACAGCTTTTTTCAACATCAAGTCCCTTAGTGACCTTACTTCTTCCCATCTTCCTGCAGAAGCATATAAATTAGACAGAATAACATAATTTCCAGCATTGCTAGGCTCAATTTCTAGAAGCTGACGACCCACAAATTCGCCAATATCAACATTTGAATGAACCCTGCAAGCACCTAAAAGGGAACCCCATATAGCAGCTGTTGGTTCAAAAGGCATCTTTTTCATGAACTCGAAAGCTTGTTCTACTCGACCAGCACGACCAAGCAAATCAACAACACACCCATAGTGCTCGTTCTCTGGCTTAACTCCAATTTTCCCACTGGTCATATCATAAAAAATATCCAGTCCCTTGTCTTCCAGTCCTCCATGACTGCAGCCAGATAACACAGCCAACATTGTGACACTGTCAGGTTTGACTTTGTCTTCTTCTCTCATCATAGTGAAAAGCTCGAGCACTTGTCTTCCCTCTCCATGTTTGCTATACCCAACAAGCATTGCATTCCAAGAGATAACAGTTCTCTCATGCATGGTATCAAATATCCTTCTTGAGTAAGTGAGGTTGCCACATTTTGAGTACATGTCAATCAAAGAGTTTTGGAGAACCACAAATGAGGAAACTTCAGAGCGAAGAACGTGGTTGTGCACTTGCTTGCCATGATCTAGAGAAGCAAGCCCAGAAAGTGCAGTTAAAACACTAGTGTAAGTAACATAATTTGATTGCATTCCTTCCTTTTGCAACCGGCAAAATAGCTTCAATGCCTCTTCATCCAAACCCAGTTGAGCATATCCAGAGATTATGGCAGTACAAGAAACTACATCTCTTTCTGGCAAGCATTCAAATACACCTCGAGCTTCATGAATTTTACCATCTTTGGCATACATGTCAAGGAGTGAACTTCCAACATAAACATGGGCTTCGTAATTTGATTTTATGATAAGAGAGTGGATTTGCCTCCCTAAGAAGAAACCCAGAGAACCTGTACATGAAGGAAGAACGGTAGCAAAAGTGAATTCATTAGGTTCTGCACCTGCAAAGGGAATACTTAACATCAGCACAGGGAAACCATTGACACAACACTGACACAAAAACAAAAAGTCTTCAGACAACACGCTCACAAAATAAAAACAATCGTTATCTTTTAACTTCTCCTTATAACATGCTTATCATAGGGCTCCAATCCATAGGTTCTTCAAATTCAATTAAAGTCCTAGTCAACATTAGCTAATGGCAATTAACTCCTTTTCAGAACAATCTTAATATATGGAACTCTAAATTGTCGACTTTGGCTTAATAAGTGACAACACATCTACTTCCTCATAAAACCAATACTTGATAAAGCAATATCAATCCCCCAAATAGCAAGATGAACAAATCAAAATTAGTTCCAAATCACCAACTACAATTACCCACTCTCATGAACTCCTCCAAACCAAGAATACCTGATCTTAACATCTTTACAAAAAGATTCAAGGCTTGAGAGGCATACCCCCTCTGAGAATAAGCCGAAATCATAGCCGTCCATGACACCACATTTCGTTCAGGCATTTCATCAAGCACGAACCGAGCATCTCCCAAAGAGTCACATTTAGTGTACAAGACAATCAACCTTGTCCTGAGGTACACAGAAGGAAGATAACGAGTTTTGATCATGTGGGCATGGACTCTCTGGCCTTCTCTAAATGCCCTTTTACTCACACACTCATTCAATAGTATATTGTAGCCTTCGAACTTCATGTCATAGCCACAAAGGGCCATTTGTAGAAGGGCTTCTTGTAGATGTCTGACACAGCTAAGAGTGCTATGAAAAAGTGATGAGTTTGAAGAGAAAGATGGAACATGCAGTTGTTGGATTAAGGTTCTTTGTATGAAAGGTAAGACATGTCTTGTACAAAGCATGCTTCGGAAACAACTACAAGATGATGACGAGGTTGAATGTTTCAATTTAAACTTAGTATGGAAAGGTGGCAACAACTGCAAATAGAGATCAAAATACAATATCCTCGAAGTCCCAGATAGGAGAAACTGTATACTTAAGACACGTGCATCTTTTACATTTGACGTGAGAAAATTTGAACTTCGTTTTCTCTTTAAAGCATGACTTTGTTAATGATACTTTTATTTTACTACATCTTCACATGTCCTTCGGTGGTGCAAACAGCTATCAAGCACCTGCAGCAAATGAAATCATAAATATTACTTAAATCCATTAAAACATTAATTTCATGAATAAACAAACTATGACTCTGCTACCCAACAATGGTTGGTCGAAACAAAAGTAAACCACAAACCCAAGCTAACATTACCTACAATATATAAGAGGTTCGAATCCTATAGTAACCACCTTAACCACCAAAACCTATGACTCTGCTGCCTTCCAGGAGTAGTTTGAGTCTCAACGTAAAAAATCATTCTCCATTAAACCCCTACTTACAAGAATATATGTGAGGAAAATCCTGAATCTTATATTTTTTTTTTTTGCAAAGTATTATTTCATGGATTCGAGCCTCTGCCTCTCAATCACAAAGAAGCAACTTAGTGCTCAAGGAGGGCGACTATTTATGTGCTTCCAACAGCCAAACAGAGTTTGTCACAGTACAATAACAGCAGCAATACAGGTACAACTATAAGGATAAGATATAAGAATTTCAAATTAGATTTTCTTTTTTTGTCTTCTAGTGAAATTTTAAAGAAGCTCTTAATTACATTTATGGGAAAAGCTAGCGTTATGTAACTGCAAAACAAAAATTTGTCCAGTTGAAAGATCGATTTCCGTGCTTTCTATTTTATCTTTTATTTTTGGGCAAAGCTAGTGTTATGTAACAGGAAAAAAACCAAATTTTCCTGCTGAAACAAAACAATCGCGGAACCCACATTTTGGTAAAAAAATAAAAGATAAAATAGAAAGCATGGAAATCAATCTTTCAGCTGGACAAGTTTTTGTTTTGCTGTTACATAACGCTAGCTTTTCCTTTTATTTTTTTACAAAAATATGGGTCCCGTGATTGTTTTGTTTCAGCAGAAAAATTTTGTTTTTTCTCTGTTACATAACGCTAGCTTTGCCCTACATTTATATGTCAGTCCAAGGAAGTATATCAGCAATATAAAATTTCAAACTAATCTTCAGAATTATTTAAGTTCACAAATTTTCAAAGAGAAACAACCCAAAATTTAGTGTTCTCTCAATGAAAGTTCACTCCAAAACAGAGTTTGAGATTTACCAATTCAGAAAAGAAAGAAAAAAATTGCTTCAAATTATATGAAAACCAAGACAAGCTTCAAGGCAAGAAAATGAAAAAGTTTTCAACGAATATTCAACTAGTATGACTTAGAATCAAGTTATAATTAGTAGCAATCACTCTCGAGCAGACAAACTAACTTATTTATTTATTTATATCACAAGGTCTTCAACCAAACAGGGATATGGATATACTTTTTGTACATTGAAATACCACCAAATCACAGACAGAACCTTACCAAATTGTATAATGAAACCATTGATTTTGAATTCATAGGGTTTGCAATACCTTTTGTTTCTATGAAACCAACAGGAAGAGGCTCACTTGCAGAGACTTAACTTACACCACGTGGTCCATTAGGCGAGTCCATTAGGGATGAGTTTTGGGGTTTGAGGTAATGGGCTCAGACTTGGTTGGGTCATCTTTGATTATTTATGTATTTGTGATCAAGATGCTACGAAACGGTGACGTTCAGTACACGCACGCCAACGTGACTTTGGCTTACAGGGATTTTGGGTACAAACCTACCACTGATTTATTTTAGCCACCGGGTTGAGGAAGTTCGTGAAGTGGTACCTTCGTTATTACGGGATTCAGTCGAGGGTAAAAATTGAAAATCACCTTGACAATGAGAAGCCGAGGATTCCGCTTCATTTTTATTATGAGTAAAATATATTTTGACTCTCGACAAGAATTACTGGCTCAATTTAATATTTAAAAAAGAAATCAATTCGTGATTTTATAAAAATTCAAAATAGATCCATATTAATATTTTTGAGGGGTTAATATAGTTCTTATTTGAATTTTAGAGAGATCACAATTTCGATTAATTAGATTTATTTTGAATTTTTGTCGGTACCACAAGTCGATTTTCTTTAAGAGATTAAAATGAGTTCTGTAATTTTTGTTGATAACCTAAAAGGTACTTTATTTTTTTTTAGTAAACTGATTTTTTTTTTTTGGAGAATGGAGTAATTAGTTTATGATGAGAATGGTGTAATTAGAATAAAATACATAATATTAACTCAAAACATAAATATGATTTGTTTTCATATTTTGTTTCATAACCCATTTTCTTAATATTTCATGCTAATTCATGACACTTTTTATTTAAATTCAAAATAATCACTGGCTAATTATGTTAAAGGACATCATCTGTTAATTACTGACTCAAATGTTTCATGTTTTTTTGGTGTCTTAAATACACAAGGATGAGCTTTTCATGAGAATGAGATAATTGAAGAGCATAACTTCTTCCTTATGAGACTTGGAGGTACTTCAATGGCAATAGACCAATTTTACACCTTTCTTTTTTGCTTTGTTATCATTTTTTATTTTCTAAATGTAAGTAAAATATTCAGATAAAATTGGATGTTTATAAGATGAATAATATACTCGTTAAGAAGAGAATTTGAGAGAATCTACGGTTGGTGATATGCGGAGAGATTATACATCTTAATTTGTTGTTTACTTGTGTTTTTAATGTATTTCGGATTTTAATAATTTTTATTTTAATAATTTTTATTTTATACAAGGCTTTAATGTTTCTACAGTGAATATAGATAAGTTATTTATATTTGCTCTCAAAATGACGTCGTTTTAGGTTGAAAATTAAAAAATTATAATAGAAAATACTATTATAACCCTGAAATAAATTATAATTACAAAAATACTTTGATTTTCATCTTAAAACGACGTCATTTTGGACTCAATGTAAATAAGTTATCTACTTGATTATTAATCGCGGGAAAAAGCGAACCCATTATATAATACAATATCAATTTGTCTTCGTTGTTGTGTGTGTGTTGAAATTGAATTAAGATATTCTTCTTATTAATCATGTCTTTTTTTGGAAATACAATGAAAACTAAAGCAACATCAAAAAAAGCCCTATACTGGGCACAATCTTGGGAGACTAACTCCCCTCAAGTCATTACGAAGCAATTCCAAACAAGCCGTTGGAGGGACATCCAGCACAATCAGCTGTCCATCCTGATGAGGTGCATGAGTAGCAAGCCAATCAGCAACAAAATTGCCTTCTCTATAAGTATGACTAAGCTGAATAATCCAGTCTCTTTGAAGCATGCTACGAGCTCGGATGATTAAAGCAGAAAGAGGATGACTTACGTCACACCCTTTTCTTATAAATTCCAAAGCCACCTTGGAGTCACCCTCCACAAAGACTCTCCTAAATCCCTTATGCCAAGCTAGATCCATACCTGTCAAGAACCCCCAAATTTCCGCTGAAGTAGAAGTACCACTCCCAAGGAATTTTGTAAAACCAGTTAACCAGTTCCCAGCAGCATCCCTTATGACTCCACCACATAGTCCTTTGCCCACTGTCTATGCTGGAACCATCCACATTAAGTTTAACATAACCCTCAGAGGGAAAATCCAGTGAATAAGACGTTCCTCTCTTTTAAGCTCCTGATGACCAATCTTAATAAGGGTTTCATTAGCCAATTGAATATTACCACAAGTATAGGTAATGCGCCTAATGAGACCATACTTCGAGGTGCTAGTTTGATCAAAGATCGCCTTATTTCTTTCCCCCCACAAACACCAAGCTATCACCCCAAAATACAAAGGCCAAGTTCGATCAGTTTGAAACGGACCTTTTAATCCTAGATTTGTCTGAATCCATAGGTGAAGATCCATGGAGAAAAAGTCACTACGGTTATCAGAAGGAACCCAATGCTCCCATAATTCCCTGGCACCAGGACAATCTCTAATGGCATGTAAACTATCCTCAAGATTATAATGACATCTCAGACACCCTGCATCTGTAGCCATGTGACGATGCACTCTACGAACATTAGTTAAAAGAGAACCTCTGTAGAGAAGCCATAAGAATTGTCTAATACGTTCAGGACCAGGCCAAGCCCAAATTACCTTCCAAATCCTATCCTGATGATAATGCGAGGTACCCATGAGATAGTTATAAGCTGATTTCACTGAAAAAACCCCATCTTGGCTACCTGCCCAAATAACACGGTCCGGAGAAGGATCCACTGTAGGAGGGAGCACACTACGAATCTTGTCTAATACTGAAGTAGGAAGAAGGTGCTGAAATAAAGGCCAGTCCCAATTACCATAACAAGTTACAAATTGAGACGTAGACCAATGAGTCATAATAGGAGGAATAGGTTGAACGGCCAGAGAAACAAGTTGAGGACATCCTGGCACCCACGAATCCATCCAAAAAGACGTATGAACCCCATCCCCTAAAATGATACGAGAATTCTCTAGAGTTTGAGGCCAATACTTAACAATAGCATTCCATAAACCAGAATCATTTGCGGAAGCCGAGATACTTGGAATGAGCCTTTCCTCCACCTTATACTTGCTACGAAGGACCCGAACCCATAACGAATTACGATCAGTCATGATTCGGTGACCTAGCTTCATGATAAAAGCCATATTATTCTCTTTAATTTTACGAAAACCAAGCCCCCCTACATTCTTCGGCAAACAGACCGTCTCCCAAGAAACCAGGTGAGCTTTCCTTCGTTCAGAAGTTGATCCCCAAATGAAATTCCTAGTTACACTCTCAATACGATCACACGTACCACTAGGAATAATACAAGTTTGCATAGGATATTGAGGAATTGCAGTAAGAACTGACCTAGCCAAAGTTGATCTTCCTGCCAATGAAAGAGTACGTTGATTCCAGGCATTTAAACGAGCTTGCATCCGATTTAAGATATAGCCAAACGTACTCTTTGTAACACGGCTATGACGAAGAGGAATACCCAAGTATATACCCAAGTCATTTGTAGGAGAGTAGCCCATCAACTGGCTTAGATTCTACACTCGGGTATGATTAACGTTTCTGGAGAATAAGACTTTTGTTTTTTCCTTGCTAACCTTCTCACCAGAGCACCTGCAAAAACAATCAAGAATCTTATTAATAATAACAGCTTGCCCTTCTGTGGCTTCTGTAAAGAGCAGAAGATCATCTGCAAAAAAAGATGGGAAAGCAGTGGTCCCCTTCTATTCAATCTGATAGGCTTCCAAACGTCCTCTTGAACTGCTACATTAATCAAATGAGCAAGTCTTTCCATGCAAAGGATGAAAAGATAAGGAGACAAAGGATCTCCCTGACGAAGACCTTGATTAGGAGAAAATTCTGTCGTAGTTGATCCATTCCATAACAAATTCATTGTACATAACGAGACACAACACATGATCAGAGAAATAATATTCTCAGGCAAACCAACATCCACAAGCGTGTCTTTCAGAAACTCCCAAGAAATCTTGTCATAAGCCTTTTCTAAATCAACTTTGACAGTCATCCAACCCTTACCTCCTCTCTTTTTATTCATGGAATGGATGATTTCCTGAGCCACAATGATATTATTCGCTCCTTGTCTACCCTTAATAAAACCACATTGATTAGGCATAACCAAGTGAGCCATATGAAATTTTGAGCCTATTAGCCACAATCTTAGTTACAATCTTGTAAATAACATTACAAAGGTTAATAGGTCTGAAATCTTTAAGTAATTCAGGCACATCAATCTTAGGAATCAGACAAATCAAAGTTTGGTTAACCTCTTTGATATTATCCGGATGAAGGAATACACCTTCACAAAAGAGATAACTGACTCACCCACCTTATCCACTGAGATTGAAAGAAAAGAGCATTAAGCCCATCCTTCCCAGGCGACTTGTATGGACCAAAAGAGAAGACTACATCTCTGATCTCCTTACTGTTTGGCATAATACTCATCGTGTCTAAAGCATGCGCTTCAATAACTGGAAAAAAGCCACGAACTGGAAAAGCCGGTTTAGGTAATGGATCTTTTGTGTACAGATTTTCAAAGAAAGAAACAGCAATTTCCATTAAAACCTGCTGATCACCAATCCAAACTCCCTCCGAGTTTTTCAACGTATCTATGCGATTCCTCCTACGTCTGGCAACCGTCACAGAATGAAAGGTCATACTTCGCAAATAGTTCATGTCTAAAATTGAATGAGACATGGAAATCCAGTTGTGGCTTTTTTGCCTTTTTACATCGATAATTCTTCGCAAATAAAAGGTCGAGAAGTTCTAATGATGGAAATGCAGTTGAAGGGGATAAAGCTGGCACTGTAAGATATTGCTGAAGTTCTTAAGGAAGCTAATTCCTACAGAAAGTACTATTGTTTATTGTTTATGAGAAAGTTGAACAGAAACTTGAAATTTCTGAAGCAAAAATTTAGAAGCTTTTAGAGGATTCAAAAATTGAGTGTCAATCAGTTCAACCGTATGTATCAGTGTATCTTCTTGATAATCCTGGGAGGATTAGAACAGTACTAGATTCCTAAAGAACCACTAGAAGGAATTGCTACTTGAAGTGGCGTTTGGTCCATCAAGGTAATTTATCCTTCTCTTTTTCTTTTTCTTTTTTCTATTTTTCCACGCATTATCCTTTTCGTGGGAATGCAAAGGCTTGATCAGGATAGCAGCCTTGTAAGCACTAATTGCACAAGCATAGACATCAGGCTGATTAGCTTAGAGGTCTATCAGTGCACTTGAAAGTTATTAGCAAGGCATTTGGATTGTTTTATGAAGGAAAATAAAATTCAAATCCAGGAGCGTGCTGATATATATGGCCTCAGAGTTGGGGCGTTTATCTGAAAAGAGAAAACCGAGAATATGTTATGAAGATCATTTCGGATTTCAAAAGATATTATATTTTATTCATGATTCAACATTGACATTTATCCAATCGGCAAAAGATAAACTCATCCAGTTTGAGAAATACCATTACTTTTATAGCAAAACCAGCGTAACCCCACGAACACTATTTCCACTTTTCAATCTAAATGACTCCTAAACACAATGCACACAACCTGATGCTCTATAAAAAAAAAGGTTCCTATATCCGTCTAAGACAGAGTAAAACGAATAAGAAACTAAAAAACTAGACACCAAAAATGTATATATAACTATTTTTCAGTAATTCCAAAAATACTTCAAAAGTCATCTTTAATCGCACTCATATAAAGAGCGTAGATGCAAGGGGAGCAAAGAAGTGGGAATGGCCTGTGCAATAAACCTTAATGGAATTCCCTTTTCCCGTCCCTCGCAGACCCACCAAGGCAACCATTAACTAAATTTAACAAACATAATGGCTTCCCAAATTCAATTACCTTTAGCTATAATATTATACACGAACTTCAATTAAAATCTAACAGCTTAAGTCCACCACCTAACAAGAACATACACTAAACTTCAGTAAACCATCATAAAAAAAGCTCAAAAAGAGCCAGGGTGAAAAACATGCTTAAAATCTTTCCAACTGAAACTACCAATCATAAAACTGAATATCTTGGTGAAATTTGATCTGAAAATAAGTCACCTAGAAAGGACAAGCTCTCCCCAAATGTTAAAAAAACCTATCTGTATCCTCCCTTTTTGCAAGGGTACACCGTACACTCGGTGGTCAGATCAAACCACACTAATAAAGCCATACTGATAAAAGTTGGACCCAATTCAAGTCGAACAAGCAGAATAAGGTGATAATTTAGATAAAAGCTGGACCTAATTAGAAGGCTAAAAAAAATATTAATACACAACACTATTCTATCTTAATACCCCACGTTTTGATCACATTCAAAGATGGAGTGGAGAGGTTCATAATATACTATACAAGCTTTCCAGATTAATTTGCCCTCCCCATCTAAAGAATTAATCATCACAAAGAGATGTGGAATAAAGAACACAGCATTCTAACCATAGCTTATCATGGGCTCTGTGACTCTGTTCCAAAGCACAGCAATTTAAATAAACACAAGATTCATAGTCCATCTGAACTAGTTGCAAGAAAATTTTCACACACAAGTACTTCTGCCATCTATAAACTGCTTGATGGTATTAAATTCAAATAGATCCAAACTGAAATTCCTGCATCAGAATTTGGATATTACTATAAAATACCGCTAGGTAGTAAACTTAGACCCATAACCTGATAAAAAGTGAATGAAAGACTTGCACACAAAAACATAAATTACTACTACAACCATTACTCATGGCACTAATAATTGATTATTTGCAACCTTCAAAGTTTATGTTGAATCAAATCATTGAGATCTATCTATATTCTATGTCAATGATTAGGAACTTACAATATTTCAATGATTTGAACCCAAAAAACAATAAAGGCCAAGGTACCCGGTAGGATCAGCTAGGATTGTTGGCCGGAAAGAACAAGTTTATAGGACAATTGGAGAGAAACACCAATCTGAAAGAAAAAGATTAGCTTCTGTTGAAGTCAATGAATGGAATAAGGAGGTAATCTCTTTCACAAGGGTTCCCCCTTCCACTTGAGTCTCCTACACTCGGATTACACAACGAATCTCCAACCAACTAATCTCTGTCCTCTTCCCATCTATTTAACAATCTTTCCCCACGCAAACGCAACTCCCTTCTAACTACCTTAACTGCTCTAACTGTCCCCTTTCGCAACCTTGTTTCTTCTGGTGTAAACTTGTCACACTCGCTCCCCATCGCGTATATCTCTAAGAGGTTCTCTCGGCAACAATAGCATGAGTTAGCTAAACCACTTCCACGGTCCAATAATCATCAAAAGGTGAAGCACAACAGAATCAACAAATTCTGATTCATAAACATGGCCACACAAGCATACATGAACCCAATCAATATGATTACGATCTAATGTTAACTTTGATATCAATCTATAGCCAGCAAAGGTGAACCATTTTGATTCTGTAAATCCATATTAGGAGATAATTCTAGGTTCAATTCAATTAGTTCCTCAAAGATCATATCAAATTACTAGACACAACATCACCTAATGCAATACAGAATATCGAAATATTCAAACACCACATTGTACCGCAGAAATGTCTTATCCACATTCAACAAAAAAAAAAGGATAGTAATAATAATAATAACAAGCGAGTCAACAAACTCGTCATAATAAGCATTAACACGTTAAAACTAACAAATGAAGTAACCAAGCATCAATAGGAGTTTCAAATTCCCATTATACCCTTATTATACCCATCCCATTTCTCTTTTAACCTAACCAACCGAATCGACGGCGATTCATTCGTCGGAAGATTCGTTATTGGAGGCAGTTGCTGCTGCGTCGGCGAGGTTGCTCTCCATCTTGAGGCGTTCGAGGGCCTTCTCGTGGGCCCAGGTTTCGATGGTCAAATCGGGCTTGGCGTTGAGTCCAACGCCAAGGATCACAATGGTGAGGAAGCTTGTGATGTAGCAAGGAAGCTCCCAATCTTCCCACTGACGAGACTCACCTGGTGGCAGCGGTGTCCGGTTGAAAAGGTAGCCCTTAGGGCGCTCCTCGTGGCCCGGGCTGGTCCACCGGCTCGCCCCGGAGCTTGAGCCGCCGCGGGTTCGCAGTGAAGGAAGGAGCCGGCGGCGGAGCATGGCGGAGGCGCTGCTTAAGGGTGTTGGGACCGGCATGGAGTCTGTTTTTCTCTTGATCTCTCGAGAGGGAGTGAGAGTGAGACCTGCTTCCGGAGGAATTGGCCAATGGAGAGAAAGACAGGCTTTCTTACATTTTGTTTTGTTGCTACAGTTCTCAATGTGTTCAGTTAGGCCAAGAGCAGCCTCCTGGGCCGTTTTAGGCCCATATTTAATTGTTCTGAAAAAGTAAGTTCAATACGAATGTGACAGAATTTTTACATTTTAAATAAGCAATAATAAAATGTGGTAAATTCACACAAATCGTATTAAACATTTATTAATTAGGTTCATTTTTTCTAAAATTATTTTAGATAATTTTGTCTAATCTTCGTTGAAATAATATTATTTTGAGGCAAAAAATTATAGTGTATTTATAATTTTAATTTATTTCAGAATTATAATAGTCTTTATCATTTTAATTTTTCAACCCAAAATGATGTCGTTTTAGTGAATATTAAACAAAATTGTCTCAAATAACATATGATATTTTTTCCTTATTCATTTTTAAATTATATATATATAGACGAGCATTATATTTATAAATTTTTTATTTATAAACTACATTATATATTCCCGGAAGTACACTAGGTTACACTATACATAGTGTAATTTACAAAAATTTATATAAAAAAAAAATTATAAATTGATACTTCCACATATATATATATATATATATATATATATATATATATATAGGGATAAGATCATTTTACACCGGTGTAAGAATAATAAATCTTACACCAAATCTTAACCGTTGATTTCCGTGCATCCAATGGTTGAGATTTATTGGGAATTAAAAATTAATTAATGAGTGAGACCTAATAAATCTTAACCGTTAGATGTAGAAAATCAATGATTAAGATTTGGTGTAAGATTTATTATTCTTACACCGGTGTAAGATGATCTTGCCCCATTATTATTCTTTTATATATATATATATATATATATATATATATATGGAAGATAATCGATTTACCGTCATAGTTCTTCCATCCTGCATTGTCAATTTCATTGGTATTTAAAATTTAATTTATTAATAATATGAGTTAGAATATATAACTGAGAGACGTTTGGTAGAGGAGAAAATTTTTTTATCTGAGAATCTCAATTTTCAAAAATATAATTTTTACATTCAGTTTATGATAATATCTGAAAATTAAAAATTTAAAAAATTTCAGTTTCCCGAAAATTTTCAAGAATTCCGCGCACCAAACAGAAGTAAAAACTTCAAGTATAGTCGGTTTCAAAATCATTTAATCACATGTATTGTTTATTTTGTCAATTTTTTTTATTTTTTTTCATCCAAATTCAGTTTTAATGCCGTTAAATATTAGGCTAAATTTAATTATAAAAAAAGGCTAAATTGTTCATTTTGCCTCAATCAATGAGTAAAATAAATATTATGGAGATAAATGATTAAAAAGGACAAGCGCAAGCGAGTAAGTGATAAAATATTAAACCATAAAGGGGTATTGAATTTTCCCTTATAATAATTGAAAAGAAAAAATAAATAAAACCTTCAGTTGAGGAACAATATAAAACCGAACAAACAAATGAGTTATATGACCAATAAAGAGTGTCACTAGAAGTTGTCATTGATACAAATTAAGAGTGATAGTGAGGTATATGTTGTTGTCATTGGTGCACTATTTCTATTATTTTAGTCTTCTATTTTTTCAAGTATTAGTTTTTAATTTATTAAAAAATAAATAGATAGAATTAAATTAAGATAAAAAAATTAAACTACTATGATAATAAATATAATTTTTAGCAACCATTTACATGTATATTAATGATATATGATATTTGAATAGAACTCCCTTTATTTGTAAAAGACACATAGAAATGACAAATATAAAAGACATATATAAATAACAAACGTAAAAGACGCATATGTGTATGATATTTGAATAGAACTCCCTTTATTTGTAGTAGTCATATATCTCATTAGTTTCTTTGGTTTCATATTGTTCCTTAAATTAAGTTTTTTTTTTAATTATTGCATGGAAAAAGTTCAAAATCTCCTCTGTGATTTTTTATTTTATCACTTACCCTTGTAGTTATCTTTTTTAATTACTCACCTTCCCTGTATTTTTCTATTGTTCGTAGGGGAAAAATGAACAAACTAACACATATATAATAGCATTAAGGGTATAATAGATGAAAAAAAATCACAAGAGAGTAAGCGATAAAAAAAAATACAAGAACTTAAATGATTTTGGAGGAAACCCCCCAATATACTTAAGACTCATTATGCTTGCATCACTATAAATGGATTGCCCATCAAATAATAATTTAAAAGGTTAAAAACTCGGCCCGATCATTGACTTGGCTAAGGTCAGGGGTCACAGGGTTAATTCGCTGACCCGATTTTATATATTAAAAAAATTTAAATATATATCTTATATAAAAAATTCAAAAAAAATCAAATCATCAATAATCAAAGATTCAAAATATATTTAACATAATTCAACCAATTACATCCACAAGTCAATATTACACAAGCTAATTAAAGTAACAAAGTATCAAAGTATAAAGCACATATTCTAATAGAGTTAATAAAGAGTTATATCATCAAACTTAGGGTCTAATTGTCCTTATCCACTAAACATGCTCAGAGTAGAGAAACTAATCAATAAAAATAGGGGATTAGTTAAGAGAAGAACTATCACGGTGGAGAAGAGGAAGAGGAACCACCGAGGTAAAGACGTATGGGAAATAAGAGAAGATTTGATTTTGTACTTCACATTCAGATTTCAGATTTAGGTTAGCAGCTTTATTTCTTTTTTCACAAAACGATGTCGTTTCGTGTGAATTTTTTTTTTAAAAAAAAAAACACGCAGTGACCCCCCCATGACCTAGGAGTCACTGTCGGATTTTGGGGGTCAAAGGAATCAACGTGCATGCAGGGTCTAACTAGTGACCCTAGAGCTCAAAGAGAAGGGGTCAAGTCAAGATTGACCTGAGGGTCCAAGTGTGGTTTTAAAACACTGCTTAGCATATTGTTAATTAAATAAAAGCATTATTTCATTTTTTGTATTTAAATTATAAAATGAAAGAGAATTAACATATTAACAAATGTGCAATATTTTTCTTCCTTGTGTATTATTTTGCACAAAAAGATTTTAGGGTTAAATTTAGTTTATTCCTTTATGATTTTGGAAAAAAAAAAATTCATATTATGCCATGTCTTGAAATAATTAATTGTGTTTTATACATCTTTCCCTATGGTTAACGTGAACACCTTATTTAAACTGTGTCTATTTTATTATTATTATTACTTTTTATGATTAATTATTTTAAAACAATAAATAAAAAGAATGATGAAAGAGGAAATAGAGGAAGATAATTGAACTCCAAACATTTATTGCTAATGTACGAAAGATATGAGCGTTCAAAATTTGTACCAATAAAAACTAGATATTACAAGCTTTCCTTACAAATGAGAAAGATGCGACCTTCAAAATTTTGGTTTTGAAATGTTTGAACATGTTCATGTGGATGACTTTGCATATGATCAAGTTAAACACCAATCTTAAATCAACTCTATGCTTATTGCTTATAGAAATTCATTAGTTTTCCTAAAACCTAGATCTTTTACCTCGTTGACTAATTTTACTTTGTTTACCCTTTTTCTTGGTGGAATAGCACACTACCATTAAATTACTCCCCCCCTTTTTTTAATGCACTTTATACATTCATTGAGTGCTCTATCAAGATCTTGTCACTAGTAATCGCCACAGGAACATTTTTCTCCAAAAATTCGATGAAATTGGTTTTTATCCCTCAAAGATACTTCTCTTCCATAAATCTTATAGATAAACTTAGCAAAATTATGGCAATCAACACAAATATAGAGATTTTTCATAACACGTATTGACACAATTTCAGGTGTAACAATTAGTCCAAAAGACAAAGCCAACTTTTCACTGTGGCATACTTCTCCTATAAATAGTTGTGTCAGGCGGGTCCAGTAGGAGCTCGTAGTGAGAGACCACCACTAATGGGCTAAGCTAAACAAACTATACCAAATGGGTCTGACATCATGTCTCAACTCAATGCCTTAAGGCATTAGGTTAATGGGTCTATCCACTTATATTCACTTCACTTAGCCCATTATCAACTAATGTAAGACTCATCACACTTGAATATTTCAAAAATCTTTCCCTCAAGTGTGAAACCCAATATTGATATACATCCCCTTCAATCGAGTACCCCAAGGCATAAGTACTCAACCCGCCTCAATGCCAAACACATGGCTAACTGAAGCCTAAACCGGCTCTAATACCATTGCGAGGCGGGTCCAAGAGGAGCACGTGACAGGGGACCACCACCAATGGGCTAAGCTAAACGATCCATACCAAGTGGGTTCGATACCATGTCTCAACCCAATACCTTAAGACATTAGGTTAATGGGCCTATCCACTTATATCCACTTCACTTAACCCATTATCAACCAATGTTGTGAGGTTATAAATAACACCAGTTGGATGACTTTGGACAGATTGCATCATCACCTGTGTCAATGTGCAATCGAGTGATTCTTGTGTTGTTTGAGTTCTCAATGTCTATTCCATCGTTGTTAGTGCCGTGTCTTGGAGCCCAGCACCTAACAGTGTGACCTCTATGTCAATAGTTCGGTCTTCACCAGGTCGGCTTGCGGAAGCTTAAGTAAACAGTAACAGTAAATCAAATTAAAAACATAGATACAGAGGAAAATAACACCAAGAATTTTAACGTTGAAAACCTCTTCGATATGAAGACTATGACACTAGACTAAGTCTAGAAAACTTTCATTATGAATAATGAGATTGCAAAAGGATTCACTCTGGCTCAATAACTAGAGGACTTCACTCTCTAAAAGGATGGATTAGACAAGGGTCTCACACTAGAGTTTCTCATTGTAAAGGGAATAGGAATCCTACACTACATGTTATTCTTCTTCTTCTTCAGCAGTGGCGTTGGATTTCTTCCTTAGAGAATCTTCATCTCTAGCTTGTGTGTTTCTCTTTCTTTGTATTCTCCTATATGTTCTCTCTCTTAGCCACAGTGGCTCAACATTTAAGCATCTCTTATAAACAAGAGATTAGGAAATCCATCAATTTGGGTTGGGTCCATCATGGGCCACAGACCTACAAATATCCCCCTTCGTACCTATGAGAAAGGATATTCAAGCTAGTCATCCCGATACCTTCACAACAATCTTCAAACTTCCATGTTGGGACCACTCTGTCATCATGTCTGACCAGTTGAGGTTGGTATGGACTTAAACCTGGTTAGCCTAGTGAAAGTGGAACAATCCAATTCAAGAGATGCACCAATGTCAACTATGAAGATAAACCTTATCTAGCTAATATAGTATTGCTCGATCGTTGGTTGGCAGAATTAATAATTAATTAATAAGTTTGATTGACGAAAATGATAATCATTGATTGACAAAAATCAATAGTTAGAATTTGGTGTCAAATTTCAATGTTTGACACAAGTGTCAAAGGATCCTGCCTTTATATATATATATATATATATATATATATATATATATATATATATATATATATATATATATATATATATATATTAGAATCTCAATTTACAATAAAGTAGATTTTACATGAGTAATGTAATCTTATTTACTCGGGTAAACCTATAAAAAAATATTTTAGAAACGACGCTCATGAAATATTTCGTAACCAATAATAGGTCTAATATGTCAAAAATATAACCGAGAATGTTCACTAAGAAAAAGCACTAATCAAACCAGTTTACCTAACAAGTGAGGAAATATATATAGGCACTTATTAGATTAATAAATGAAAATCTTACTCGAGTAATAGTGATGGATTACCCAGCTATATCAACTTTTTCTCATTTGCAGTAACGAGATATTAAATCAATTTCCAAGCACAATTATAGTTACTATAATAAAATAAAAGAAAAAAGTATCTAATGTTACTTTACATAATTTTGTCTAATATTTATTGAAACGACGTCGTTTTGGGGTTGAAAAATAAAAAAATTAGAATGAGAAAGACTATTATAACCCTGAAATAAATTAAAATTACAAAAATACCATGATTTCCGTCCCAAAACGACGTCGTTTCGGTGAACATTAGATAAAGTTATCTAAAATAACTTTAGAAAAAATAAACCCTAAAACTAATATATATTTAAGTTGGACTAAATTTCAAAATGTCAATATTTATATGAACAAGACAATATTGAACCAGTAACTAGAACAAAAATGTAGTTCTTGATGTTTCAAAAACAATTATGAAATTCTATTGACCTAACCAAAGGCAATAATTTTGAGCGTTAGCAAAATTAGAGGTGGCAACATGGGCCAACCCGCTCCGACCCACAAAAAACGGAGCGGGGCGAGTTGACCCGCCAATGGAAGGTGAGTTAGAAATATTAACCCACCTTGTTTTTAGGCGGGATGACGGGTTGACCCGTCAATTCACAAAATTGGTTATTTGGGTTGGCGGGTTGGCCCGCCAAAATATTAATTGAAAAAATATTAATTCTCAATCTCAGTCATACACCAAAATTTAGAGAAAAAGTTATGCCAGAAATAAGATTTTAGTGTTGATACGTGATAATGATCAACAATAGCCGATATCTCATGAGCATCAATATCCAAATTGTTAACTTTTCAGAGCAGATCAATTTTACCACTCTCTACAAGTGGCTTTATCGATTTGTAACATATGAAGTAGAAGACACCAGGTTCCATTTCAAAGAGCTTCGACCTGCCAGAATAATCAATTAAACTATTTTCTAATTTTTTTTTAAAAAAAGAGCAGAGTAAATTCATGCTAGAGAATTTCTTGTCATCAACAGGTCCATCTTCAAGTTGAATGCCTGACAGATATTCTTTACTTTTAAAAGTTAGGGATCTGAACTTAAAAAAAAAGGCGCTGGGATTGCAATCTCCAAACCCTTTAGAAATAACTCTTGATGCTCGAATAATGAAGGAGTTGATAAAATCGAATGAAAGCCAAAGGTACCAGCTTGGACCTGAGAGAGAGAGAGAGAGAGAGAGAGAGAGAGAAAAGAAAACTGAGAGAACGCGGTGCTGTGAGGGTTTAGGTCTTGGTGGGCGGTGTTGGGTTATGTTAAAAATTTATTTGTAAATGAGAAGAGGAATCAGGGGTTAAGCGCGTCATCTAACGCGCGCGGAAAGTTTCTCTCTGCTAGGGTTCACTCAACCGATTTTTCATCGAGGTTTTCAATGGGGGACACGATAGCTAACAACTCTGAGCTACTGTCCATGTCTAGGAGAAGCACTAAGCGTACGAAGAATGGAGACAAAATACTGACGGAAGTAAGGATGCTAGAAGTTCTGAAGGAGTATCAAGCTGGATCTCCAGGGATTGAAAAACAGAGATCGTTTGCAGATGTAATGGGGGTGGAGAATGGTGTTTCTGGTGATGCCATACCCTGGTTACTTGAGGAAGAAGAGCTAGATCTGGATCCTCTTGACCTAGGATTGGGAGAGATCACGGAATGGGGATTTCAAACAGTTGTAAGGGAGGACGGATCCTTGGAAATAAGGAGCAACAAGGAAGCTCGAGCAAGGATGCGTCAACGATGGAAGAATGCCCTGATTGTTAAGCTTTTGGGGAAGAAGATTGGGGTCAGATTCATGAAAAAAAGGCTCGAGTCGTTGTGGGCTAAGGCTGGAAGCATAACAGTGGCGGACCTGGGGAATGAGTTTTTTTCAGTGAGGTTCAGCAACTTGGAAGACTTAAACCTAGCCATTACGGGTGGTCCTTGGGTTATTCTTGGCCATTACCTTGCAACTAGGAAATGTGAGCCTTGTTTCGATCCGGAGAAAGCCAATATTCACAAGGTAGTCGCATGGATCTGCTTACCAGGTATACCACAAGAATATTGTGAATTTCCGTTTCTTAATCATCTGGGAACAGAGATAGGAAAAGTTCTAAAAGTGGACAAAACCACTTCTACTGGGGACAGAGCTCGATTTGCTCGGGTATGCATAGAAATTGATCTTTCAAAGCCATTGAGAGGAGAGTATATCCTGGATGGCTGCCGAAAAAGAGTTGAATATGAGGGGCTTTTTTTAATATGTCTCAAATGTGGAAGATATGGCCATAATTTGGACTCTTGTCCGGATTTTGTTAAGCCAGCTACGGTACCCAGAGCTGATGGGGTGCAGGTTCAACCAGTGGTGAAGGCTGGATCTCAAGGGGTATGTGAGTGGATGGTGGTTCAAAGAAGAAGGAAAGGTCCCCAGAATGGCTAGAAACCGGATTTGAACAAAAACAGATCATTTCGAGAGGATATCTCCAATAGGAAGAATTCTGCAGATCCAAAAATAGTCTTGAAAAATGAGAAAGCTAGCTCAAAAAATAGCTCTGGGAAAAATTTTGGTGCTGGCATATCTAATGCCAAGGTAAATAAGGAGAATGATTTGGTGACTAACAAAAGCCAGTCCCCAGGTAGGGGGATAGAGTTCACAGCAGTGGCTCCTAGCACTGCAAAGAAAGTTTCGGGTTGAAGACCTGCTATGTCAACCTCAAAGAAAGTGCATGCTAAGGCCAATAATACTAAAGGGAAGGGTGTCATTCATGTGAACCAGGCACAGTATGATGTCAGCAATAGCTCATTTCTTCAACAGCCTAATGTGAATCTACCTCAGTCCTCCATTGAGCAGCAGAAGGGTAATATGTGGGGGGATTTGATGATGGCAGTAGAAGCTACTGCTGGAAATGGTAACTCTGACCTTCCTATAAGTTCTCACTCTAAGGGGATCTTGAATGATGATAAGGCTATGCAAGATCCGGATCCTCCTGACCATGACATGGAGTAACAGTAAAGATGGTGGAAGCCCAGTCAGGTATGGATTTTGATTTACCTTCATGTACAAATTTGAGCACTGCTATGATTGTGAGTGAATCTGTTTGTGGTGAGGGAGAGGCAAGTATTCAGGAAACTGCTATGGAAAGCCTAGATCAAAGGCAGCAAGAGCTTAGGAATCTTGCAACACTCCCAAAATTCCCTATGAATGTCCTTATTTGGAACTGTAGAGGTGCTGCAAAAAAAAAACAATTTAAGAGTACCTTTAACAGATTTCGAAAGAAACACAATGTTGGTGTAGCTGCTATCTTGGAGCCTAGAGTAAGTGGGAATAAAGCTATTAGCATTATCCGTAGTTTGGGATTCTCCAATTACATAATTGCTGATGCTAAAGGTTTTGCTGGAGGATTTTGGGTAGTTTGGAATTCTTCTGATGTGAAGGTCACTCTTTTTGAGAAGCAGGATCAGTTTATACATAGCTGGGTCGAGTTTCCTGATAAGACAAGTTTCTACTGGACTGCTGTATATGCAAATCCTTAGGAAGATAAACGTTTGAAACTTTGGGAAGATTTGAAGCAGATTGGTAGAACTATGAATGGTCCCTGGATGTTATCAGGTGACTTTAATGAAATAGCCAATGCTACTGAGAAAAGAGGAGGAGTTCCAGTGGATGTTAATAGATGTAATCGGTTTAGCAATGTTCTGGATTCCTGTGGGGTTTTTGACTTGGGGGGTGGAGGCAATAGGTTCACATGGAAATGACCTAAATTTCTCCACCTAGGTAGAGTATACAAAAGGCTTGACAGAGCTGTGGCAAATGAAGAGTGGAAAGCTAGTTTTGAGGAGGCTGATGTATTGGTTCTTCCAAGGCTATTCTCGGATCATAGCCCAATCTTCATTAGATTGGAAAAAGAGGATTCTGTTTGGAGGGAAAGGCCTTTTAGGTTTTTGGCAACTTGGCAGAATGATCCCAGATTCTGCCAATTTCTGAAGCCTAATTAGAATTCTTTAACTAGTTTACTGGAGAGTTTGGAGGAATTCATCCCTTTGTTAAAGGAGTGGAACAAGAACACCTTTGGTTTTACTTTTCACAGGAAGAATAGAGTAATTGCTCGCATAGAGGGAATCCAAAAACAGCTTAGTTTCAAAAACAGTGTCCAATTTGAAGAGTTGGAAGCTAAGTTGAGGAAGGAGCTCTCTGAAATTTTAGACCAAGAGGAGAAAATTTGGTACCAAAAATCTAGAGGGGAGTGGATTAGAGATGGGGACAGAAACACTCGCTTCTATCATACTAGCACTCTGATTCGTAGAAAAAGAAATAAAATTCTTCAACTTCAGAATGAGATGGGTGGTTGGGTTTCTGGAGAAGAGGATCTTGTTGCTCTGGCTAGAGGTTATTTTCTGAACCTGTTCAAGGAATCTGTTGCTGTCCCTGTATGGTGTCAAACTCATAGCAGCTGGCCAGCAATCAAGGAGGAACACATTGACTTGCTGTCACTTGACATAACCTTTGAGGAAGTCAAAAATGCTTTTTTTCAAATGCCTTCCCTAAAAGCACCTGGACCAGATGGGATTCCAGCACTTTTTTATCAAAGGAATTGGGATCTTATTAAAGCTCAAATCTTTTCTAGTATGCAACACTACCTTCAGTATCCGGATCAGATTGGAGAAATTAACAAGACTTTGATTGCTTTAATCCCTAAAATTGACAGACCTTGCTTGATGAGGCAATTCAGACCAATAGCATTATGCAACTCTGTGTACAAAGGGCTCAGCAAGATCCTAGCCAATAAAATTAAGCCTCTCTTGGGTACTATTATATCTCCAAATCAGACCAGCTTTGTTCCCAAGAGACATATCCAGGACAACATAATAATTGCTCAGGAGCTTATCCACTCAATGCATAGGATGAAGGGAAGGAAAAGTTTTTTCTCAATCAAAATTGATTTAGAAAAAGCTTATGACAAGCTCAACTGGAAATTCATAAGATCAGTCCTGGAGGAACTTGATTTGCCAGCAGCCATGATTGATGCTATAATGGGGTGTGTAACAAGCCCTTATCTTGAAGTGCTGTGGAATGGGACCCGTACTCCTGGATTTCAGTCTCAAAGGGGAATAAGACAAGGGGACCCCTTATCCCCTTATCTTTTTGTGCTTTATGTGGAGAAGCTAGCTCACCTAATCAAGGATGAAGTGGAGAGTAAGAAGTGGCTTCCCATTAAAGTTGGTAAATCTGGACCCTTTGTATCCCATTTAATGTTTGCTGATGACATCTTACTATTTGCTGAGTCTTCTATTAACCAGTTAAATAGTATCATAGATTGTTTACAAAAATTTTCTAGTATGTCTGGACAATGTGTAAGCATAGAGAAATCTTGTATTTTTTTTTCTCTAAAAACACTCCTCAAGATACAGTGGATGCAATAACTACTGTTAGTGGCTTTAAAAAGGTTGGGAACCTAGGTAGATATGTGGGTGTTTTGATGAGGCATGGGAGAATTAAGAGGGATCACTATGCTGATGTAATTTCCAGAGTGTAGAGCAGATTGCAAGGGTGGAAATTTAAGTGTTTATCAATGGCAGGTAGGATTACTTTGGCTAAGAATGTCATCTCTGCCATACCCTACTTCCAAATGCAAAATCATATCCTTCCTACCCATGTTTGTCAGGATATTGAGAAGCTACAACGAAATTTTATTTGGGGAGACTCTGAGTTCAAGAGGAGAGCACATCATGTTGCATGTGACCACTTGTGTTACCCTAAGCATTGTGGAGGGCTTGGCATCATCAATTTGAGGATACAGAATGAGGCATTTATGCAGAAAATTGCATGGCAAATTGCCAATGATTAAACAAGTCTTTGGGTCCAGGTTTTGCTTGGTAAGTATGGCAGAAAGCTGAATCCCAAAAGAAGCATGATTGCAAAAAAGAGTGACTCCACTTTTTGGAGGAATGTCTGTACTGCTAGAGTAAAGATGGCTCAGCATACAAAATGGGTTTTAGGCAATGGTAAAGACATCTTATTCTGGCAAGATGTATGGGGAGGTTGGCAGCAAAGTCTTTTTGAGTTGGCTCTTGTTAAACCTCATGCTACTGATATGGATCTTAAAGTTGTCGAAATTGTAGACCAGAATACAGGAGAGTGGAATTGGTGGTATCTGAGGAAGTTCTTTGATGTCAATTCACTAAAGAAATTGAGCAACATAACACCTCCTAAAGTGTGTGAACCGGATGACTGTTTGAATTGGAAAAAAGGAGTTTCAGGAAACTCTTTTGTGAAGAATGCCTACTGCCATCTCTTGGAGACAGGTGCTAGAAAAGATAGGATATGGAGTGCTGTTTGGAAATGGAGAGGTCCGTATAGGATAGCAGTTTTTTTATGGCTGGCTTGCCTCAACAAACTCCCAGTTAGAAATACTACATGCCACTGGACTGGAGGGGAATCTCAATGTCCCATTTGTCATAGTGGTTTAGAGACTATTCTGCATACTTTGAGGGACTGTAAGGCTGCAAGAAGTGTATGGGAAAAATGGTTTGAAGGAAATATCCCTAATAGTTTCATGTCTGAAGAAGGATTAGATTGGTTTAGATTGAATTTGGATAAACCTTTCTCAATCAGTCTCTGGCACTCTTGGAAGGAAGTTTTCTTTGTAACATGCTGGTTCCTATGGCAATGGAGAAATGCCTCGATCCATGAGGTTTTATTTGTTTGGCCTTCGAACCCAATTTGCAGAATTTTAAACTATTTGGCTGATATGAAGAGGAACAATTCCACTGATCCTTTTTTGCTAAAGCCAGTTGCAGACTCAAATTTGATGGACAGTGGACAATACTCAGCACATGATGTAATCAGAATCTGGGTAGATGGTGTTGTTAACTTACATTCCAATATTGGAGTGTGTGGTGGCTTTTTGGTCTCACCAAAAGGAGATTGGTTGGGAGGTTTTACCATGAAGATAGGGATCTGTTCATCTCTAGAAGCTGAGTTGGAGGGAATTTTGCAAGGTCTTCTGATAGCTGGAGATAGAAAGTACTCGAAGATTTGGCTTGGTTGTGACAACAAAGAAGCTCTCTTTTGTGTGGAGAATCAAGATGATAGTTGTGGCTTTACTTCCTTAGGAGATAGAATCAGAAAAGCTACTCTGGGGTTTGATCAAGTCCTGTGGAATTTTATACCAAGAGAGTTAAATGAATGTGCAGATAGGTTATCAAAATTAGGATTTAATCAACAGGGAGGAGAGCTTTTGTTTTTTTCCTTCTCCCCCTGATAGCATTTTAACTGTTTGGGATACTTTCTGTACAAGTTTACTGACTGAGCATGTCACTTTGAACATGCATAAGCTTTTAATATAGTTGATCTGGGCTAGGCCCTCCCTTTTTATCAAAAATAAATAAATTATTTATTTGTAAGAAAAAAAAACCCGCGGGTTAACCCGCCTCGCCCAT